ATCAAATGATTTCTAAAAATAACTTCATCTTTTCTTGTTGATTTCCTAATTGGGTTGGAAGTTCTACTCTACTTTATGTTAAGTGAATGAGGCTCCTTGAACATTTTTAATTGTACTGGGTTATGGAACCTATGAGCAGAGTAACATGAGAATATTGTTGTGCAATGTGAGACAGAAATATGTGGGCACAAGGTGCCGGGGAAAATATTATGGTTTTATTAATGGCACGTGAGCTGTCCGTGCGGTTGTGACATAAATGTGGGCACGAGGTGCTGTGAAATTTTGAAAGTGGGATGAGACCTATATTATTTATGATTATGATATGAGGTGTTACAAGGTGACCTTTACTCGAAAGAATTATATTCGAAAGATGCTTATATGAAAGATATCTATTTGAAGGAAATATATTCAAAATATATTTATTGAAAAACATATTATCTTAGAGATTATTACTTGAAGGATTTATAGGCGAAAGATTTATATTTGAAGGACTTGATTAATTGATTGCACTTGTATTTATTATTGGTTGAGAAACATTTATGGTGTTCTTGTTGCCTGCTATTTATCTCACTGGTTGATCATTGTTGCCATCGTTGTTACTTGCTTCCTATTATTTTTGTACGCTATATGGCACAGGTTTATTCGGTAGTCTGGTCCTAGCCTCGTCACTACTTCGCTGAGGTTAGGCTAGGCACTTACCAGCACATGGGGTCAGTTGTGCTGATACTACACTTCTGTACATTTTTGTGTACAGAGCCAGGTATTTGATCAATAGTAGTTGTTCGTTGCAGTGGAGACTCGAGATAAACCCACTGCAGCCTTCGCGTTCCTCGGAGTCACCTTCAATTGTACTTATTTCCATATGTTCCTTTTGTTCGGAACAGTGATGTACTTATTGTGTATAACTCTTAGAAAAAAAAAACTTATGACTTGTACTACCGGTTTTGGGAATTGTATTTTGTTTAGAGTAATTTAATTTAAAGTTAGTGAATACCCATATTATTACAGTAAATGTTAGGCTTACCTAGTTTAGAAACTACGTGTCATCACGACTTCTTTGGAGGGATTTTTGGGTCGTGACAAATATGCCCTTATATTATTGTAAAAGGTTTAATATTATCCTCTGTTATACTATCACTCCAAATATACCCCTAACGTCATACTATTGGTCTAAATATATCTCTGACATTATGAAAGTGGTACAAACCTACCCTTCCTCCGTTAACTGCCTCCCCTATGAACATATTTTATTGATATCTCACCATTTCACCCTGCTTGCAACTACCAAATTCAATTACTTTGAAGTTCTATCATTATTTTGAAGAATTCACTGCCTCTACTTCCTCTTGCTTTTCAAAATACTTGTTGCTTCTCCGGCCGATCCTGGAATTGTATGTACCTTTCACTTGACTTTACAATTTTGTATTTTATTTTGCATTTCCTTGTGTTGCCGCTGAATTTGTAAGACCTATTTAGGAAAAATTTAGTAGCACTTTTATTTTAACATAAAACGTAAAGAAAGAAAAAATGGTAGCCTTCCAGAAATGTGGTTGAAGAGAAAGAAACAAAAAAAATTAACTCTCGTGTCTAGGTTGTTTTTCTTTCTCACCATGGTCAATTTTGAAACCTTAAACTAGTTTGCCTGTATCTTTGCTTAGTTTTTTTTATATAAAACAAAATATATTTTCATTCGTATAAGCATGAATTTTGAATAGCAAAATTAGAATTTTCTCGGTTTACATTGTTTCATATTATCTTTAGTTGTTAGCATTTCTTTTGATATAGTTTATTTATATATCTATGATGTGTGATTTTTCTTCAAATGAACGGGAAAGAAAGGTTGTGGGAAAAGGATGAAAATGGGAGTATAATAGTGAGGTGGCAATGAAATGTTGTCATAGGGACGCAGCTAACGGAGGAAGGGCAGGTTTGTACCACTTTTATGATGTTAAGGATATATTTGGACCGATAGTATGACGTTAGGAATATATTTGGACTGATAGTATAACAAAGGGCAATATTAGACCTTTTTCAATAGTATAGGGGCATATTTGACTCTTTTCCGTATTAGTAATGTGTATGGAAGCGTCTGTCTTTGTAGGGTAGGGGTAAGGCTGCGTATACCCTCCCCAAACCACATGTATGGGATTAAGCTGGTTTTTTTTTTGTTGTTGTTGTTATGGAAGCACATAAAATAACTAAGAAAATACCCTTAATACTATATCTTTGAAGAGCTCTTGCAACCCATAGCAGCAGCCCACATGCATTACTGGTATCTCACGGTGGAGTTCATAAATCATCCATTGAACAACAGAACATCAGAAAAGAGGTGAAAAATGGCAGTTACCTATAATTTACAATCAACAAAGCACAAGCTATTACCAAGCGAGGCAAGGAAGGCTAAGGACTTTGAGAAGCTTGACAAGAAACAGAGTGAGGACCACCATGAAGGACTACGATCAGTGGATCACGCGTATTATGGCTCTTATTCTTGGAGGATACAAATATAGCCTCGTATGGTTTGCTAGCACCTAGCACGAAGAAGATTCACTGATAGCTTAACTTCATAGCAAGGAAAGAGAGATCTATAATCTGGAATGATACATGCATCTAGTAACAACCAAATAGAAAAAGAGGTCGGCAGATGCCTCCTTTTATGAATTGATAAATCATTACCTTTCCTCAAGCTTGAAGGGCATACTCACGCCCCTCTTCATTCATGTGAAAGTTTCAGCGAGTTAAAAAAGTCAACCAGAGACCATGAGGAATCGTTCAGCCGTTCAGCATCGTCGATAATTTTTGTTGAAACATCATTTCTCTGTAGCTGTGTAGTTCTAACTTTCATCAGAATCACTCTTGTTTTCATTGTGGAACTCTTTGTCCGAGTCTGAACACTGAAAGTAACTAAGTTCCATATGTCAGAATGATATGATCGTATCCCAGGCATTTTGTAGATAAAACAGGGAGTCACTGCCAGGAAAAGCTTGGCAGTCAATGTGCCATGGTTATCAAGGTCACATCTCTAAGCTTGCTTCCTCTTTCATTAGTTAATACTACATGCAAATCTAAGGTTAGCTTATTATAATTTACCTCTTTTTTTTAAATATAAGTAGCTTATAGGAATTTACATTATAGTGCTATTCTGCACACACAAAAAAAAAAAAAAAACTATCGTGTGTATTTCCAGGGCATGATCAGAGAGAACCCCATATGTTCCCCAACTGGAGTTTGCACAAGGAATGATTTGTTTAATGTCTCTTCTCTCCTGGATCTTCTCAAACCATATTTAAAGCCAGAATCCTTATTAATGCTGCTCTACAGGAGATTCAAGCAGCAAACAAGATTATGTTTCACTGCAAGTATATAAACAGGATAGATGACCATACTAAACTAAGGCACTGTGATTTTCCTAACAAAGTCAGCGCTGTTCGTAAAAATTTGTGGTGATCAGGATGACATTATCAACATAGGACAACATATCTTTGAACAGCAGATCTACTGATGTATCTACAGCATATTAAGCTACCAGACTAGGAAAATTCAGAAAAATCTTGCTTAAGACTCAAACCAATACCTTTCTTTATAACATTATCATGTTTACATTATCAACATAGGACAAAATATCTTTGAACAGAGGATTGAGTCTGGTAGCTCCTCAAACTTTATGAGTTAGAGATTGGGTTACTCTATAAATACTAAGAATAGATGTACACTTGAAAAATTAAATATTTTTAGTTTTCCAAGTCATATACTAGAACTGGTCTTCCTCTCCACTAGGTGATTTAGATTTTCCTCATGTGTTTGGCTTTAGTATTCAAATCTCACTATTAGTTCCAGATATAGATCAGAGAACAGTAAACATGAGTGCATAAGGTTATGGTAAGAAGTTTGGCCTTTTTAGCAAAATACACCTCATACTTAAAACACCAACCTTTACTGAGGTTCTCAGAGAGATCCCTGATAGGTATCTTCATGATAATAAATTGGCGGGATGACAGCAAAGATACAACTTGTAAGTAGCAAAGATGGACAGTTAAAATTTCAGAAATGTAATTTTAACAGATATAAAACCGAGCAGAACAGATGATACAATCAGTAATTGAACTAACAAGTAGATGAACCTTTTCAGAGCATCTAGATGTGGAGCTTGAAATATCAAGCCAACTCCAGGATGCCTCAGCAGATGCCTTTCCAACAAGGAAACCGTACTTGATTTCAGGACCATCAACGGGACTGCTAGAGACTTTAGAGGGGAAAACACCAGATTTATCTAGATTGGATAATCAGGAAACAAAATCTTATTGCAATATGGAACCGGTTCAAATTAAAGTACGTGTTGACTCTAAACACCAACTATGTTGTCACCATCTAGATTCTAGTGTAAGCAAGTTCCAAGAAAAGCAAGAGTTTCGAGGACTGATTCGTGCCATTTTGCCGCTATTAAGAAAACAAGAAATCTTTGGTACAACGCACAATCGAAGACTTCAGTTCAGATTGAGAAGAAAAATACATACTGCCTTAACACATCCACTGAAAATATTACTAGAGTGCTACCCCAGGCAGAAGATAAAATCATTGTATATCCATCAGAAAGCCAATGTTTACTAACAACACTGAAACAGTAAAGGCTAGGGAAGCATCCATCTTCAGGGCACATCACAATGGGAACCTGCAATCGTCATGTTAATATTTGCTGACTGTTGTATGGACATGTAATACATAAAAAATAGGGTATGAAAAATCACTAATTAGTGACTAGCCTCAAAGTGCTTATGTAAATTAGCAACATAAACAACAACATACCCAGTATAATCCCACATAGTGAAATCTAGGGAGAGACCTTACTCCTACCTTGTGGAGACTGGAGATAGCGAGACTGCTTCCAATAGACCCTCGGCACACGGAAAGTATAAGCACCACATTAATGAAAAGAAAAATAAGAAGGGACAACACTAAGAAGACATGTAAAGCAGCATAAATAACAAGATAGTAAGATGACCGAAATGCAAGAAATGACAGGTAGTCATAGAAACCTCATACCAACCGAATGCGAGAGTACGTACTAATACTACCGGTATGAACAATCTAGACTACCTAACCTACTACCCTAATCCTCGACCTCCACACCTTCCTATAAATTAGCAGAATTACAAAAATGAGACATACCACATCAACAATTTTAGCATCTGAACTAAGCTTTGCATCAATGCACCAGTCAATTCTATGAAGTGAATTTTTTGCATTACAACTTTTGACCAGAATACAAGATACTTGCCATCTGGACTGCAAAATTTAGTTAAAAGATCATCTGTTCTATTATATCAGGTAACTAAGCTGCAGAAATTAGACAGAGTCAGAAATAGAAAAAACTTTATATTGCTCCTAGAGATGCTTTTCTATAGTTTATGAAAAAAGGAAACATATCATGGAATTCATAGGGAAGTGTTTCCACCATTTTCAGAATGACTTATAAATAACTGTTTGAGTAAACAACACACCTGAAACGCGGAAAGAATGCCCTACTTATGCTTTGTGTCAGCTTAACTGGAAGTGCATCTTCGGTTACATTATTTTTGAAAGTGATAGTAAGTCGATTAATAGTGAAACTACACAAAAAAGGAAAAGAAAAAAAGGACTCAGATATATGGGAAATCACTATTACTCGAGCCCCTCTACTATATTCATATAGAAATGGATGTGTTAGTCCACAACAATATCATCTGTAGCAGCTAGTAGATACAAACTCAGGTTGATGAAATTCTGATTTTGGAAAAGGAGCCCTAACAGCATATAAGGCACGAGGCCTGTTATAGCAAAATTTGATGCCCAACTTTCTAGTATGTTATGGCCATCCAACAAAAACTAGATATTGCTGCAAGCGTTCAGTGGATGGAGCTCACACAACTTGTCCAACACTAAGCATCTTTGTCATTCCTCCAACAGGACATACTTCTCCACTGCACAAATTTGCAGACCCATCCACGGAATCAAATTAACACCCTTTGATAAAACAAAGTTTAGCAAATATTATATTACATTACCTGGTAACACTGATTACAAAAAGATCTGGATTCTTTTTCCAGGATTGGTTTCTCCCAAGTCCTCTTCCCAATTCCCTTGACCTCTGCAGCTGCCACACTCCTTATCCATAGAATTCCCTTTCTTGTAACCGTAATTAGTAAATGTAGGCTTTGAGAGAACCGGCTCCTCAGTGGCATAAGAAAAAAGAAATTCATCATTATTCCACGAAATTCCCCCAAACCTGCAGTATCAAATGCTAGCTAACACCATGTAATTGTGAACTGAAGAATCGGTGATGTTGATTTTGCTAACATAAGTTATCCTCCGTCGACATATACAGAGCCATGGACAGAGAGATGGACAGTGAACTCCTTTCGACTAGAGATCGACCCCAAATCTCAAATTTGGTTGGAGAATCATTTTCAGGATTTCGAATAACAAGAGGCTTTGAACCTGAAGGTGACGGCACAATTGTAGACAAACCGGACATCTCAATAGGAACGTGACCCATTCAAAGCTCACAGAATTTGAACTTTCTTTTGAAATATGACTAGACAATATGTATCATCTTTTCCTGTTGGCAAGAAGGTTCGGTTGGCTAACTGAGAACATGCACTGGGAGCCTCCTACAGTAGTAAAAGTAAAAGATGAAGTAAATCGTCAGTGTTGAGAGAACAAAAGATAGCTTTTGAAGTTAATTTGGAAAGACAAGAGTGCATAAATAGAACATTTCATTCTTAATCCTTAATGTTATGTACCACCATGATGGGAATAAACCCCTTACCAAAATAATATTCACGGTAATAAAGCGGAATAATAATGTAGCACCGAGTTACGGTAATTAACAAGAATAAAAGAGTAACAATGACACCAAGATTTTTACGTGGAAAACCCTTCTGAATAAGGGAAAAAAACCACGACCCCGAGAGGAGCAACTGATATCACTATAGTAAGGAATTTTACACTTTGTAGGTCGGAGGTAAATACTCCAAAGACCACTACAACACTCAAAAGAAATAACCCTCTTTTGATATTCTCACCTCACTACAATATCGCTCACTCTCTATTTTCCTCACAGACTATTTTCTTATACCTTGTCTGTGAAACCTCACTCTTTCTTTCTCTCTTTGTTGGTGTGAAGAAATGAGAGTTGAAGCTCTCCTTTTATAGCCAAAGCTTCACCCTCTAAAGCCTACAATATTTGACAATTTACACACATTTTTCACAATTCAACAAAGTTGGCTACCAAACCAAAGAAATTCAACAAGGTTGGCTACCAACCAAACCAAGTCAACAAGGTTGGCTACCAAACCAAAGAAAACTCTTATTAGGCACATGCCTAATACTTCTTCAATGACATGACATCATCACACTATTCTTTATTTTCAATCTCAAATGCTATTCATACATAAAAAAGAGAACAATGACGAAAACAATCATACCGCTGGTAGAAGTGAAAGTCCAGGCTTTGTCAATGGTAGGGATACTGGTAAAATCTTAGAGCAAATTAGACTGAGAGGAGTATTCTCCCTCAAAAGCTGATACAAAACACAGAGGTAATTCCTTGGAAGGGCTAGCTCCAGACTTTTCCATTGCTGAGCAAACTGACAATGTTCTTCTACAAATTAAACACAGAGAAGGAACACTTAAAATAGAAAATTTTATACTGGTCAATGGAGTAAAAGGCACTTTTAGTTTAAAATTATGAATAAGCATTTAGAATATATTGGAGGAACTCCACCTACAATAAACACACAAATAGGGAGACAAATAGATATCAACATATTTTTTCTTCCTGGAAAGTTTGGTAAGTATCATAAGAGAAGGGGGTAAGAAAAGGAAGACCTAGTATCAATTGTTGATAAATGGGAGTTTAAATGACTAAATCTATGCAAGTTTTAACACTATTTTTCTGAAATCGCAGACAAATGATTATTAATTACGTTATTAATTACCACATAATTAATAAAACACTGGATAGATGATCTATTTTTTTCCCCTCCTTTATCTGGTAGGAATGGCTTGCTTCCATAAAAAAGGATCTCATTCAATCATTCACGAAAAGCAAAACTTTCCTCTCCTAGCAGGGACAAAAAACATTAGGTGATTTCTTCTCATCTATCTAAATATTGGTGGATAGAGTTACCTGGTATATGTTGCTGGTGGGAGGTGACAAGTATCCTGTGGAATTAGTCGAAGTACGCGCAAACTGGCCCGGACACCACGGTTATCAGATAAAGAAAAAACATTCCTCTGAGTAAACTCCCTTCTTGAATTTTTGGTTGAGGAAATGTAGCTATTAACTAATAGATGATCATTAAACAAATAATTCAAAAATACTCACGATATAAAACAGGATGTTTTTTTCTCGCAAACGCTCATATAAAGTATGCAAATTACTGCTTTTCCACATTAGTGCACCATCTGAAGACAAATATCATGCAACTCATTAATATACACTTCTTGATAGTATCACTATGTGTACTATGACGGCACCGAACAAAGCAAAGTACATTATGATTCAATCAGATTAAATTAAGAATTGAAAACAAAGTATTCAGAATTGCATGATTAAGAGACAATAGGAAGAGAACAAACAATAAGATTTAAAAAAAAAAACTCAGATAAGCTTAGCAGAAATTTAACTAAGAAACTTAATTAGCATCTTTGTCCAAGTATTACTATGTGAAGACACACAGGGAAAGAAAGTGAACCTGGAGAGCCAAAAAGGTCTGGTAATGTAGAGAGGCTTGAAGTGCCTGAAATAACGAATTTGGCGAAAAAGAGGGGATGAATGAGAGCGCAAGGAACACTGCCACCTCTAAGATTCGGTTCCTTTTGCTGTTAAGTGGTGCAGTCTGCAGTGCACTCGACTCGTCATAACGTAAGATATTTTCTTTTGTCGTCTTTTCAACAATGTTGGAAGGAGGGAAATAGAGAGAGGCATAAAATAAAATAAAAAGTGGAAAAAAGCTAAAAAGTAAAATAAAAGAAAAAATAAGAACATAAAAATGAAAGTTAGGTTGTTTGGTTCAAAACATATGCGAAAAGTATTGATCACAATAGATAATCTCTTACGTAAAATCCCGCTAGTTGGGTCTGGGAGGGTAATGTGTACACAGATACCCCTACCCGAAGGAATAGAGAGACCGTTTTCGAAAGACCCTCGGCTCAAGAAGTTAAAAGGAGACAATATTAGTACCACCATAGAAATAAAAGGAAAAATAGCAACAATATGAAAACAAAAAGATAGATGTAAAGCAAAAGCGATAGCCAGTAAATAGATCCGGCACTAGGAGAAACGAAAGAGTAGTCAGACACAATATTGCCACTAGCTATCTTAGACAAAGACCCTATCATACTAGTTTCACAAAGGTACTAGGTAAGGCAAGACTCAGCTACCTCATAACCTAAAACCCTAATACTCGATCTCCACAGCTTCCTCTCAAGGGTCATGTCCTCGGAAATCTGAAGCCTAGCCATGTCCTGCATGATCACCTCTCCCCAATACTTCTTAGGCCGCCCTCTACCCCTTCTCGTGCCCTCCACAACCAGATGCTCACACATCCTTACCGGAGCATCTGAGCTTCTCCTTTCTACATGCCCGAACCATTTGATTTTTTAGTTAATTTTCACAATCAAATATTAAACAAATTTAATTCTAAATTTTAGACTTGAACGAATAATAATCTCATGATAAATATAATAGATTATATCACATTTTTATTAATTTAGATTCTAATATAAGCAATCTTAGGATATTTACCACTATTGTGATAATAGTATTATTTTTAATATTTAATGTGGCACACGGTGTAAGCAGGTTAAGTAGAGCACGAGAATGCAAATTTCGTCAAGTTTGAGGGCCGTTTTGGGCTGTTTTACCATGTACCTCGAAAGAGGTACTAATTTTTGGATTCACATGGAACATATACTCACAGAGAGGGAGAGAGAGAAAAGGAGAGCGAGGCCATGGAAGCTCCGAAGTTGCTGCTGCTGATTCTATGCGCCTTCTTTGTAGGCAAATCCCTCGGAGATGGCGTCACTCCTCAAGAAGCCAAAGAGCTCAGAGACGAGGTCACCTTATTTATCTTCTCCTTATCAATTGTTCACTCACAGATCGACACATTTTTGAACTTTTAAAAAATTTAAGCTTGAACTTCAATTATCATTACTTTTTTTTTCTCTTAATGAATGTAGTTATGTCAAGTTTTAACGGATTGATACGATGTCCGTTACGTCAATGATTTGATATAAAAAGTGGTTACTTTCTTGATCTCTGCATAAAATTATTATTTTGAGAATCAGTTGTCAGCTCTTCAATCACTCTAAAGCTGAAATAATGGAGATGATTTCATGTTTGTCGAAATTGCAACGGGAAAAGCAGACGTAAACTAAAAAGAAAAATGTGTTCTTTACTTTATCAAAAAGAAAAATGTATTCATTATAATGAGAAGGGTTGCAGAGGAGATCGAAACATTTGAAACTGAAATGAATAAGCACAGAGCTAGGAATAGACAGTGGAGTAATGATTTAACATCCAATCTACTAATCTATTTTCTAGGTTGGAAATTAAAGCAATAAGTACACTTTTGTAAAAGGGGAAGGATATTTCTCATTAGTGCCCACCTCACATTTTTGTATCCCCTTTTCCGTATTGATCCCCCCCTTGATATCCAACACTGGTACTAGGTGGTTAAGAAAAAAAGTGACCGAAAGTTGAGCATATAATATCTTGTTCATTTTTTTCTGCTTTGCCTTCCCTTCAAATGTCAAACTTTATAAGGTGATTGAGAAATAGTGATATTTTCATTCCTTTTTAGGTGCGTGAGATGTTCTACCATGCATTTAACGGATATATGGATCATGCTTTTCCACGTGATGAGTTAAGGCCTTTATCTTGTGGAGGAGAAGACACACTTGGTGGCTATGCCTTAACATTGGTAAGAAGACACTTTCTTGCTGGACTGGACAGACTAATTTTTCTTGGTAAACATATACTTAATGTTCCTATCATGTGCATTTTCACAGATTGACTCATTGGACACCTTGGCTTTGCTTGGTGACAGAGAGCGGTTTACTTCTTCTGTTGAATGGATTGGTAAAAATCTTCGGTTTGATATTGTGAGTATGGCATTTGTATGAAACTGAATGAATATTGGAGTGAATGATTTTACTCTTTAAAAGACATTGCCTTATGAACTTCGGATAATTAACTTGTTGGAGTTGGATTTAAAAGCTCTCCTCTGGCTTCGTGAAAGTTCTTTTTCCCCATTAATTTTTTTTGAGTGCCATAGAAAGGTGATCTTGAATATGACTGTAATAATTCCTTTGTATTGCTGGGAAATCAGATGCCTTTAGTGGCCGTAATGCTTCTAATGTTGAGAATATAAGCTTTCATGCATGGGGTTTGGTGTTCGACTTGTATGACACAGTCAAATTTAAGGACCATCGAGTAGTTTGACAAGGTTAAACTTTTGTTGCAAATCTCAATCTCTCCCTAGACAAGATGCTTTTGTCAATTCAGCAAATGACTACCTTGTGTTAGTTATTTATAAATAAGAATATTAAACAAGTCATTTTTACTTGTAAAGAGAGTCATTTTTATTATGTGCTAGCTTTATGTAGCATGTGATATGTGGGTTAGGCGGATGTCACGGGTTCGAATCCTGCCACAAACAAAAAGCCTGGTATTTAAGTGGAAAAGGGTAGTGGGGCGGATCTATTATCCACCGAGTTTCAAACTGTGCGCCACTAACACTCTGTGATTTCTCGGTTTTCAAAAAAAATTATAAGCTTAGAGTTTGCTTGCTATTTATAGCTCATTCACATAGAAGTGGCCTCCCTCATTGTGAAATTTATAAGCAAGACACCCTTTAGAAACTGGCCTCAATATTTGATATCTTTTGCCTTTTTGTATCCTCCGGAAGTGACCCTCAGAGTATCAATACTTCTAAGAAGAACCTAAGTTTTTTAAGATAATTGAGACTTTGTTCATATACCCGGGGAATATTGTTGAAAAAAAGACCCCTTATAAAAACTCTTGGCCCATCCTTCACTCTGCTAATGGTTAGCCGGGAATGAGTCTGGGAGTTCGATTTCATTTGCTACTTTTCTGAGTTCTGAAAATTTACTATGTATTTGCAGAACAAGACAGTATCTATATTTGAGACTACAATACGTGTCCTTGGAGGTTTAATTTCTGCCCATCTCATTGCAAGCGACTATAACACGGTATTATATTCATATGTGTGTTACCTTTGTGTCTTTTAAAAAGAATTACTTTTCTGAAACAGCCGAGTATGCCTTCTATGTTTGTTAACTTTAGAAAATTGAGAGACTCTAAGCTACTTTCTCCAAATACTTTAACCAGGTCCTTTAGAACTGCAGGGCATGAGGATTCCCACTTATGATAATGAATTGCTTCACTTGGCTGAGGACTTGGCACGGAGAATGTTGCCGGCATTTGATACTCCTACAGGTATCCCTCGTGGAATTTGGTTTTGGCCATATCGATTGGGTAGAATCAATCTTGTTATGAATATTGTGTAATTATTGAAGGTATGTTGGATGTCTATTAGAACCAATTAGGGAGGTCATTTTTCTTGTAATTGAGTAACCTTGATTTCCCTCATACCTTCGAATAGTTGAATAGGTGTATGTTACTATTTAAACACCCCGACAACATGAGGGAATAATCAAGCTAAACTTTCTCTCAATATTCTTCCATGTTCTTTATTCTCAGATGCTATCAGAGCCAGTCTCATTCCTATTGTTGTGTCTCCATATGTTGGACCTCCTTAGTATGGTATCCACGGTCCAGATGTCCTGTTCTGGGCATGCAATAGAGTGTTAGAGTGTCCCATATTGGTTGAATGGGTTGTTGTCAGTCCTTGTATGATTTTGGACTATTCTCACCTCATGATATAGCTTTTGGGATTGAGTTAGGCCCAAGAACCATTTTTTAACATTGTTATTGGGTTGGGTCACCCTCTGACAAACAACTTACTTCCAAATATTGCTTTCTAGTTGGAGGTAATTTAGTATCTTGGAAGATATATAAAAAAATCTAGTTGCGAGATCCAATGTTGAGTTTATTATATCTACATCTGATAAAAAGTTTAGGTTAATGAAGTGTGAGTTTGAACAACACTTGCCTGTCCTAGTAAAAACACCCTGCCTATCTTACATTCTGAATTACTTTTGCTGCAGGAATTCCATTTGGATCAGTAAATCTGTTGCATGGAGTCGACGAAAATGAAAGCAAGGTATTTCCTCTTTGTATTCTCCTTTTCTTCTTTGGAAGTGCTGTATTGGATTCCGCCTATAGTGGTATCATGCCTAGTAGGCAGTGGTTGGGAGCAAAGACATTCTATATTCAAGCTCGCTTCAGATTAACTTATCAGTTAAAAAATATTTATGACTGTCCTGGTTCTTAATGAACATGTGATCTTGTGCCTTTTCTTTCTAATATGATTTGGAATATTTTGTTCTAAGCCTAGTTGTAATTCACAATTATTTTGAAGACAGGAATGTTCTTATACAGCATTGTTGCCCTATTCCCACAAGTAAAGAAGAGAAAACCAGAAATCCTCTTGATCTGATCATTTTTGTATCCATCTGACAGACATGAATAGAGTTAGAAAAGACGGACATATTTCTATCTTTTGAAGTCTGTTAAGGGTTACTAGTAAATAATTTTTGAAGATTGACCTGGTTGGTGGTCTGCATGAGAGTCAAGAACCAGTATGAAAATATTCTCTCTTGCTTGTTTGGAGGACCATGTATGTGCAACTACATGTGCTATGCATGCCATAGGCATTTATTAGATGTCTGAGCTATTAAAGCTATCTGAAACTCTACTTGCTTTTAATTCTTAATCAGCTTTCCTTGCCTGAGACGTGCTCACACATTATTATCCTATATTAAAGCTATATTTTTGGGTGCCTAGATAACATCAACTGCTGGTGGAGGGACACTGACGTTAGAATTTGGGATACTCAGCCGCTTAACTAATGATCCCAGTAAGTAAAACACTCTTGATCTGATTTACTCAATTTTCCTTTCATCTTCTGATCTTATTCAAGAGGATCTTCAGTATTTTGTTCAGTTTTACTCATTCTAATTACCCTGACATGAATAGTTGTTTGTTTCAGCTGACATAACATAAGGTACACTCTTAGATCCTTGGTGGAAAGAACTCGAAAGAGCTGTAATGTAGGTAAAATGAGTATATCTTTAGGAATCCAATACCCTCGCTTAGGAGCTTGGGTCATTAAGTTTTACTCTTTAACTTGGTTTAGTAACAGACCTTAGATATCATTTGGGTTCTTCAAAAGATTGAGATTATTTAAGTTCTTTCTACTTTGTACTCAACTGAAAGAAGTATGAAGAGAAAAATCTGGACCTGTTAAGGAGAAATACTTTCTTTTTTCCCCCTTTTCGGGGGTGG